ATGTTTTATCACTTTTTAAATTAATTTTCAAATATTTATATATTAGTATTTTTCGATATTGTTTCGATTACACGTTATCCTAACCCTATCATCAAGCAACACCAATCAAAACTAGTTGAAGTATATATTTTTTAAATCTTAACAAGAACGTGTTTCATTTATTAAAATTATAAGTTCCAATATGATTAAAAAATGAATCGTTTGATAGATTTTTATCTCATGTCATATTCAATGCCATCGATCTAGTAAGTGAGAAAAGATAAATAAATATTGCAAAATATTATTACAATTAGCTTTCTTCTTTTGACTCACATAAACAAATTTTACCATAGAAGAATTACGGGTTTTATCATTATACTTATTTAATTTTGTTGCTTTATTTTTTCAAAAAAATTGCCATTTTAAAGGAGGGTATCAGAGTTGCTTGTGGCATTGTACATTAGAATCCCATATATTGACATCCTGCAAAAGAATTTCAATGTTTTTCTCTGTGCTTTTTATTTCCACGCTTTATTTTATTTTATTTTATTTTGAATTAAGAATTGAATAAATCTAGATTATGTTTATGATTAACAGGTAATTGGTCCTTATATTTTATTTATTAGCTAATTTATTGTGCTTGGCTTGGTGGATGAGTTAGGTAGGGAAATAACTTTTGACTTTTAAAGTGCTTGACATTTTAGGTAAGTTAATTTAGCATTTTATTCTACATGTCACTTCTTGGAATTTTTCAATTAGTAATTATATATAATTTAGGTACATTGTCATTTGATTTATTGCGCCAATAGTAGGCTTTTTTTTTTTTTTTCCCCCAAATTATTGGAGAAATTTTATCTCCAATTATGCTTTTTTGGGAAATTGTATCGAAAGTTTGACGTGAAATAAAATAATCGATATTTTATTCATATTTCATATTTTATTACTTTCAAGATTATGTATTTCTTAAATTTTGTGAGGTTCCATTGATGAAGTGTATTATTCAATGGACCGTGCTACGCGTACATAATTATTTACATACCGTTTACCCACTACTCACATCATTTGGATGGGATCTAGGTTCGGATTATTAAATTACACATGGGGTCCGTATGTTTGTGAGGGGGGTGTAAACGGTTTGGTACACCCCCCCTCGGTACAAATTGTAATTTATTCTTTATTTTTCTTTTCTTCTCTTTTTGTTTTATTATTTAATGGATCGTGCTACGCATACATAATTATTTACTTACCGTAAGGACATTTTGTGCTATTAACTCAATGTTATTGAAAGTCATAAAATTCTGAAATCTGTATCTATCGCTGGGGACAAATTTATTGTATGAATTAATGATATATTAATTATAAAGCTGACAGCCAGAGCCATAACCCTACCTGTTTAATCTGTGATCTTTCATAGGAATTACCGTCACCTTTTTAATATTTTATTAGTTAAAGTACTAATCAACATCAGATCCAATTTAGGGCATCTTTAATTTATATAAATAAACTTTAATCATAATATTGATAATCCATAAAATCGTAAACAAATTAACTTTAAGAATACAATTAAATATTCATTTTTCGTCCGCTGTTGGCCAAAGTTGACCCCACACAGTCAAAGAATCATTTTTTTTTTTTTTTCTCTTCTTTTATTTTTCAAAGTAAGAATATCGACCAACCAAATTAGAATATGTGTATTCTATGTAGGAATATCGAGACAAATTGCATTTTCACTGTCACTTAAATCTTGACTGAATCACTTTCATGGGAAATTTCTTATAAATAATTGAAAATAATACTATAAATAAACATTAGAAATATTGAAATGGTGGGATCGGGTGCGTCGTTAAGCCAACCTAGACCTCCTATAGTCAACACTGGCCTACGAATGCGCATCCCTTTTTAGAAAGAAATAATTATATTAAGAAAATATACGATATAGAACAAACGTGTTATATATCTATTTCTTCAATTTATCGACTCTAAAATTTTTTATTATACATGTTTTAAATTACACTCAATTTAACAAACAAATTTTAAGCCATCATTTCTTACTATGGAGCTAGAAAATTGGTTGTGAGCTCTACTGTACGATTGTCCAATGTTGAATATCTCATGCACAAATTTATTGAATTATTTCAACACGTTATTGTATTTCGGACAGATTGGGGCAAGATACGAAGTATTCTTGTGAGTCTTGATAGTGAAATAATGTGGCTTGTCACGTTTATATATTAAAATAACGATATTCAAATAGAGACAAATATAATAGGTGAAGAACGTTTTAGGTTTAAGGGGGAAGTCCATAGAGGCAAGATTCAATTAGTCAAATTGATGTGCCTCTCGCGGACTTCCATGCCCCTTTCACGTTTTTTAAATTTAATTCATTAGCAAATCAAATTCCTATCTATTTTGACTGTTATATGTCTATATAAAGATAAATTTACGTTGTGCTATATGTACATAATTCTTTACATAATGATGTTTATAAGTACACGTGACACTGAATCTAACATTTAATTCAAATCTCACACTTGCACATCAACAATCGAATGATTGTCACATCACATTATAGATACTATTATGTTTTAATAAAAAATTAAAATAAAATAATATAAAAAGGAATTATATTCACATCATACTTCTAGTAAATTATGAAACATTTTAATTACAATGAAAATTCTCAATCTTTGTTAATTTCTACACTTGTATCGTCAACTTGTTTCTAACATTTTTATCGTCAACTTTTTATTAATTTGGACATCATATCTTTCATAATGGTTTTCATCCAAAAATTTTGCTAAGAGAACATAAACAATTTATTCATCCCCCATTTTAATGTAGTTAAGCATAATATTTGCACATAAATCAGCGTTAGATACTTAAGGCTTGTTTGTTAAATTTTTTTAAAATTATTTTTCACTAAAATCATTTTCAAACACACGAATTCTCCGCTTTTAATCATATTATCCGAATAAAATCATTTTGCTCTTAGAAAAGTCTATGTTAAACAAGTGTTTAATTGAAGATTAATGATAAAAATGTGACGAAAAAAATATTGGGGACATAAATATCAAAAAAATAAAAATTAAGAATTTTCATTATAACTAGAAATATATGAATATAATTATCCTAGTGTTAAATATTGTAACCACCAAATTGATTATCATATTTTGAGGTGATTTCGTCACGAGCCAAGATTGAGATAGGAAAATATTGACAGGAAATTGTTTGTTAGTCAAGGCGAGAAAGTGATGCTTGACAATTACATCTACCCATTTATGATTTATGTGGCACAAATTAAGCATAATGAATTAGACAAACTTTAAGGGGAAAAAAAAAACATTTACAATAGAAGAAAATAAAAATCTTAAAATTGGAGTGTTTCATATTTTGTTCATCGTTTTGAAATCTTATCAAGCGTTCTTAGCGTGTATATAATATAAAGTAGAATTATTCTATATGTACACAATAAATTACACCGCCCTCATATAGAGGGGAGCCCACCAATATTTTATTGTGTGTAGGCCCCTCTCTAGGTTAGGCAGGTGTAATGCTTTACGTAAACCATTGTGTACACATATCACTTCTCATAAAGTAATGGATAAGTCTAGCACAAACTTGAAAACAAGAAAAAATTACAATTTTCTGTATTATTTACTCATTCAGTATCATATACCAATATACATTTATGTGTTAAATAAAAATGATATTACCTCTTTTTCCCTAGAATGCTGAACCACATTGGAAGCATCGTTTATTAAGTTAATCAAATTAAAGAGAGAGTAAATGACGAAATTTAAGAAATCACGATAAAATCCCAAACCTTAATCAAACAAATTACTTTTTTTTAAGAAACCGTTGTCATTCAAAACTAATTAAACTTTAAATGGAGGCTTGGTTCAATTTTAAACCTTGATTTGCATTTTTTTCCTCTTTTTGTGTGTGTGTGTGTTTTTTTTTCCATGTTGGCTTTGACATTACATCACTAATGTAATTCATGGCGTCCTAAAAAATTTTAAAACAACAATAATAACTAGTTGAGATGTTTGCATTGACTTATTGACTTGTTTTATGGTGATCACAATTCAAAAAGTCGATAAAATTTGTGAATCATATGAAATATGTAATTATAATTAATTGTTGACTTTAATCTCAACTCTTAACAACTTTTCAAAATTTTGACCTGGAATGGATGAAATTCTTTTATTCCCTTTTTAAAAAAAGAAAGAAAATTAAAAAAATTGATACTAATTAGTATAATTAATAGCCAAGGAGAGAAATATTTTCTTAAATTTAATTTGATTTTAGATCATAATTAAAATATTAAAAAACTAAACCAAACCATTAACAGGGTTACAACTTACGCAGAATCAAACAACTGTTTTAGTTTATTTAATTTTTTAAAAAAATTAACAAATTGACGATTGTCTTTTTTTTTTTTTTTTATCTTTATGAAGGGGGAAAAAATAAAGCAACCTGTTAAAGGGCACTATTGCTAAATTTCCATCACCGCTCACTAATTACCTTGTTATATGGAGAATGAAAGACAAAGTATTCAGCATCAGCAATCGAAAACTGTTTGCCCTCCAATTTCTTGTACCTATATATACAAAATGTTTAAGCACCCGTAACATAAAAATACAGGAAGGTTTAATTTAAAGAGAATAAAACTTTATCTCAGCAGAAGCTTACTTGTTACAAAAGGTTTTATAACAAGAATCAAGTGCCATGAGATAGCAAGTCTGAGAAAGCTTGCCATCGACAACCTATAAACATAATTTTAACCGTATCAGAACTGAAAACAGCATAATGCAGCAGATTTGAAGTAGCAACCTATGATGCTTGGACATGAGTGCAGGTATCGGGTATGGGTAGATATCTAAGTGTCGGGTCTTTTATTTTCTAAAATGTAGAATACAGGGACATGTTTAAAAAGAGTACAAATTTCAGACACGAGTACCCTGAGTATGCCTTTGTACGTCTTTCAAGTTTCAATTTTTTTACTAATTCAAGATGTCAATTTGAATAGATCAAAACCAATATTCAGAAAGAAGGAAATAAATATCGAATAAAAGGTTAAGACGAATAAAATAGAATTTTGAGGCTTAATTTTCAATGATAAGAAGTTAATTACTAAGTGCTATATAAAATAGAAAATAATGAACTTGATTGCAATTTGGACTTAGAGGAGCAGTGAGTAGCACTATATGAAACTCATTTTTATTTTCTACAAACAAAACCATAAACCATCAATACAGAAAAGGAAAGAAGGAAAAAAAGAAGAAGAAAAGGGAAAGAAAAATGAAAGAAGGAGGAGGAAAACCTAGCATCATAACCTTTCTCCACCAAATCGGAGGCAGTGCTAGGTTCATAGAGAGCAAAAATGGGAAAGAAAAGGAAAAGGAAAAAAGAAGAAGAAGAAGCAAAAAAGACGAATTGTCCGGTTGAAATTTTGGAGAATCCGATACATATCCCATCTCCATAACCGTGTCATGTTGTGTCCAACACGGGTACTCTGATCATTTTGAAGAGTTCGAGCATCAGATGTAGCAACACATTTTCCAAAACACCAATCCCAAGTTTTTGTTTGTTTTTATAGGCAGAGACAATCAGGCTTGTAAAAATGAAATAAATAGATGGGTTAAAAATGAGAATTACTGGATATTCACTGGCAAGATTAGGCTTGTAAAAATCATAGGCATGAGCCATATGACTACCCCTGAACTTGCTTTCAAACACAATCGGAGCATTAGGCCCTATTAGCATGGCAATAGCTGCAGCTCCTCCAGTTGGCCTGGCTGGCCCCTCTGCATAGACCTGTTAAACAAAGCTTACTGGTAAGGCAAATCACCCATAAGCACAATCAAAGTGTTCTACTGAAAAATTAAATCAACACTTGGCCCTTGTTTAAGCCCCATTTTTTGGGGTTAATAGATTTTGGAAAAGTGATTTTTTGGAGAATGTGTGATTAAAAAATAGGGAAATGTTTTGGGTTTACGTGTGAAATTATTTTATTGGGAGAATGTAAAGTTGAAAATGAGTTTTTGGAAAATGGGGCTCAACACTAGGGCTTAGTTTTTGGATGAGCAATAAAATAAACACATTGCAGCAGAGTGAAAAGTTACACTATGATTGAACCTTAAGTGAGTACAAAGATGATGGTCATACCGCACTGTCTGTGCAGACAACAAGCCCATATCGTCCATCCCATGAACTACTTTCCACCCAATTGATGCAGTTGAAGAGAGCTGCAGTTCCCCCATAGCATGCATTGGTTGAGTCAACACCTTCTATGTCAGTATTTCCACTTTTCTAGTTGTTCGCAGGAGAACAATTGAATGAATATATGTCAAATATACATTTTTAGTCAAATATGTGAAATCAGGCAATGACGATGGTGACATTATTTAATTCAAAAAAATGCTACAGGCATTTGAGCGCACAGGCGTGGAGTTCTATAGCATGCTTGACCAAGCTCTTCTACCATTTTGATGAAGCACATAATAGAGTAATTTTATACGTTAACTAGTATTCAAATGATGTAAGCAAGCTTTACTTATATAAATTACTGTAACTTAAGCCTTTTGCTAAAATATGGCCATGGTGACTTTTGCTTAAAAGCAAAGCAGAATAATATGATAATTTTAAGTATCATTTAGGTAAACTCTCTGTTAGATCATCAGTTTGACAATAGAATCTGTATTCCATTAATTCATGTTCCAACACAAAGTGCCAATGTATACTAACTGTTAATGCTAATAATGCAAAATATAGACTGCATACTTAAATACCTCAAAGATTGGCATCAAGAATGTCTTAATAGACTTGCTCTTGTCTAGTACAGTCTCACTTCCAACTTCCAGACGACCAATCTGCTTTGGGTCAACCCCATATTTCTCAAGAAGTGAACTAACGGCTGTCAAACTGAAGGTTAAAGAGTTAATAAATGAAAGTAACTAGTTATTGTCAATATTATTAGTACAGCTGCCAAATTGAAGGTTAAAGAGTTAATAAATGCAAGTAACTTGTAATTGACAATGTTATCAATACAAGGACAAAAAACAATTTACAACCAAATTTTTATTCATCAAGTTTCATTTCAGTGAAGGAGTAAAAAAATAAATAAAAGATAAAATACTGCATACAAGAATTTCACAAAGTAAGTCAGTGGAAAGCATGTCTGCAACTTTCTTTATGACTCTCTGTTTAATTATTCATCAGAGGGATATTTCAGTATATAAAGAAATTGAGAAGCAACACATACTATTTCCATGATGTGTAAAATAAAGAGTGAATATGCATAATGAAATTATAAAAACTAATATCAATATAAAGGGCAGATGCCGAGGTTCAGCAACATATAAATGGGTAATTTTGAACCTTTCCTTGCTTAACTTAACACACTTCATGTTCTTCTTTAAACACAACTTTGCAGACATGCAAATAGAAAGGCAACAATTGCATCTAAATTTCCAAAAGGCGGCTTATATTCGTTCAAGATAGTGCAATCGTGTTGTATAACTATCAATAAGTTTGACGAGCCATTCACAAAGATATGTATGATAGTACGACCCTTGTATTTCCTTTCTCTTATCCTTGTCCTTCCATAAAACATAGAGTTCGAGCGCAGGCGCAGAGAGTATCAAATAATATATCAAAATGAAACTAGTCAAACGATTTGTGCAGCTCGTAATTTTTTTACCAAACATCGACTTAGTACCTCATCGAAATGACGTCTTCAACCTCAGTACAAAACCCCATGCAATCTTGGCCAAGCCCAATTGTGTATTTCCCTTTGCTTGCTCCGTCATGAGCCTCCAATACTTCCTGTAGCAAGTACAAAAGTTTTATTTAAAAAAATCATATCTTTACTCATCTGAGTGTAGAGTTAAAATTAAGTATTCAAATTTTCAATTAGAATCTTGAAAAGACAATAGTCCAGAGTTTCTCTCTCTCTCTCTCTAACATTAACCAAACAAGCAAAAAAAAATCTGCTAAACGAAGTTCAAATTTTAAAATTCTGAAATCTAAAAATACAAATTATGATCCAACAGTGGATCAAAACGCTTTAATTAATCAAACTATAACAAATTGAAATCATAAGGTGGGTCCATAAGTCGAAAACAAAAAATGGTGATAACCCCAGAAAAAGTTCCTTTCCTTTTTCCATATTTTTCTGCATCATTCCTCACCCTTTCAAAACATTTCCAAAACCCATAAAGAAAAATAAATGAAAAAGAGAATTTCATTCAAAATTTTATGTGTAGTACATAAGTTTATGCTTAAAACAAGATATCTGACCTGCTGTATGCAAGTGGGAGGGAAGTAGATTTCGATGGCGAGAATTCCCACATTCTTCGCTTGTGAAGCCATTTCTTTCTCCTTTGTTCTTTACCTTCAAAAGGCAGATCAAGCAAAAAGGACAGGAAAACTCGCAGTGTAAGAGGTGGAAAAATTTGTGTAGGCGATGGGAATATGGCCGTTGGATGGCATATATATAGGCAAGGGTATTAAACAGACTGCGAAATTTCCATATATTTTTGCATTTTCCCTTGTTCTTTGCCACCACAGCCCCCAAATGTAGACTTCGTGATTCCACCAGTTATTTAAACCTCCCCCAACCCCTTCCTAACATAAATAAATTTAATTTTTAATTGAGTTAATCGAGTATGTTCAATACGACAAAATAATAAGAGGGTGCGTATTTATTCGAAGCCATCGGATCCAGATTGAAATAGGCCTGAATTATTCGATTCGAATTGAATTAGGGCCTGTTTGATAGGCACCCAAATTTCATGAAGAATGAAATTCGTTTTCTAACTTCCACTTTTTATTATGTTTGATAGTCTAACAATTCGATGGAATTCTCTTTTTTAGTTTTCTTGATTTGCTACATTTTTTTGGTTTTCCTTAAAAACTAATTCGGTTTTCTAGGTATTGTTGACCTTTTTTTTTAAGTTATATATATATATTCTTTTAATTGATAATTTTCATGTAAAACAAAATCAAATGAACACCAAAAGATAAATGATTTTGTTTTTTTTTTTTGCAATGGAAATAAATTTAATCTCCAATACCAGTAAATTCTTTCTTTTTAATTTACAATTTTCATCTAAAATAAAATCAAACGAACCCAAAAAAACACTTTTATTTCAACATTTTTCACTTAAAAATTATATTAATCAAACACATTAATTGACAATTTTTAGAAAAATAATTTCTAGACAATTTAATTATCTGGCATTCGTTTTTCTTTCCACCCAAATTCCATCTTTGCAATAGAACGGACTCTCACTTCCATTCTGATTCCGAGTCACAAAATTAAAAAATTGAATAGTTCTACTCTAGTTTTTTATTCTTTGATTTGGTTTCAAAATCATTTCTTTTCATATTCTCTTAATTAAATCATAATTTATATAAAATTAATATGTCCAGAATAATCAATAGTTTTATCGTTTAAAACTGAGAGTGTGAAAGTAATATAAAATTATTTATTATTTACACAATAATTGCAATTTACAATTTATTTTTGAAATGTGAGAATTATTTGGGAGGGATAGATTTTTTATTTATTTATTATTATTATTATTTTACATAACCAATGATTCTATTTTCACGATCTGATCTAGTTCAGAAGCTACCTAGACCCAATTACAAAACTAATTTTATGCTATTATAGCATTTAATGTTTTATCACTTTTTAAATTAATTTTCAAATATTTATATATTAGTATTTTTCGATATTGTTTCGATTACACGTTATCCTAACCCTATCATCAAGCAACACCAATCAAAACTAGTTGAAGTATATATTTTTTAAATCTTAACAAGAACGTGTTTCATTTATTAAAATTATAAGTTCGAATATGATTAAAAAATGAATCGTTTGATAGATTTTTATCTCATGTCATATTCAATGTCATCGATCTAGTAAGTGAGAAAAGATAAATAAATATTGCAAAATATTATTACAATTAGCTTTCTTCTTTTGACTCACATAAACAAATTTTACCATAGAAGAATTACGGGTTTTATCATTATACTTATTTAATTTTGTTGCTTTATTTTTTCAAAAAAATTGCCATTTTAAAGGAGGGTATCAGAGTTGCTTGTGGCATTGTACATTAGAATCCCATATATTGACATCTTGCAAAAGAATTTCAATGTTTTTCTCTGTGCTTTTTATTTCCACGCTTTATTTTATTTTATTTTATTTTGAATTAAGAATTGAATAAATCTAGATTATGTTTATGATTAACAGGTAATTGGTCCTTATATTTTATTTATTAGCTAATTTATTGTGCTTGGCTTGGTGGATGAGTTAGGTAGGGAAATAACTTTTGACTTTTAAAGTGCTTGACATTTTAGGTAAGTTAATTTAGCATTTTATTCTACATGTCACTTCTTGGAATTTTTCAATTAGTAATTATATATAATTTAGGTACATTGTCATTTGATTTATTGCGCCAATAGTAGGCTTTTTTTTTTTTTCCCCAAATTATTGGAGAAATTTTATCTCCAATTATGCTTTTTTGGGAAATTGTATCGAAAGTTTGACGTGAAATAAAATAATCGATATTTTATTCATATTTCATATTTTATTACTTTCAAGATTATGTATTTCTTAAATTTTGTGAGGTTCCATTGACGAAGTGTATTATTCAATGGACCGTGCTACGCGTACATAATTATTTACCTACCGTTTACCTACTACTCACATCATTTGGGTGGGATCTAGGTTCGGATTATTAAATTACACATGGGGTCCGCATGCTTGTGAGGGGGGTGTAAACGGTTCGGTACACCCCCCCTCGGTACAAATTGTAATTTATTCTTTACTTTTCTTTTCTTCTCTTTTTGTTTTATTATTTAATGGATCGTACTACGCGTACATAATTATTTACTTACCGTAAGGACATTTTGTGCTATTAACTCAATGTTATTGAAAGTCATAAAATTCTGAAATCTGTATCTATCGCTGGGGACAAATTTATTGTATGAATTAATGATATATTAATTATAAAGCTGACAGCCAGAGCCATAACCCTACCTGTTTAATCTGTGATCTTTCATAGGAATTACCGTCACCTTTTTAATATTTTATTAGTTAAAGTACTAATCAACATCAGATCCAATTTAGGGCATCTTTAATTTATATAAATAAACTTTAATCATAATATTGATAATCCATAAAATCGTAAACAAATTAACTTTAAGAATACAATTAAATATTCATTTTTCGTCCGCTGTTGGCCAAAGTTGACCCCACACAGTCATCATTTTTTTTTTCTCTTCTTTTATTTTTCAAAGTAAGAATATCGACCAACCAAATTAGAATATGTGTATTCTATGTAGGAATATCGAAACAAATTGCATTTTCACTGTCACTTAAATCTTGACTGAATCACTTTCATGGGAAATTTCTTATAAATAATTGAAAATAATACTATAAATAAACATTAGAAATATTGAAATGGTGGGATCGGGTGAGTCGTTAAGCCAACCTAGGCCTCCTATAGTCAACACTGGCCTACAAATGCGCATCCCATTTTTGAAAGAAATAATTATATTAAGAAAATATACGATATAGGACAAACGTGTTATATATCTATTTCTTCAATTTATCGACTCTAAAATTTTTTATTATACATGTTTTAAGTTACACTCAATTTAACAAACAAATTTTAAGCCATCATTTCTTACTATGGAGCTAGAAAATTGGTTGTGAGCTCTACTGTACGA